ACACACGCACACATACACACACTCGCACGCAACCACACCTAAACCTGATAGATAAATAGGAAGGAATGAAAAATAAAAAGGAGATGTACAGCAGACGGTATATAATACAAGTCAAGAACAATATCAGGCAACCCCCTCCCCACCTGACCTGTGAATCAATTAAATATCATCATGTAGACCACACGTCACCTTCAGCGTGTCCAGTTCATAGCAGGACAAAAACACAGTAGTTGAGTGTAACTGGAGTACTCTAAAGCGCTTGATTTTACTCACACATTCTCAACTTTGAGGCTTCTTAGGTGTCTGAAAAAGTGTATCAAGAACACTTCAAGTACTTAAAACATTTCTAACCATGATCCATTTAGCCTTTGTAAAACAATGCTCCGGCCGCAACCCATTAATGCCTGTTAGCTTATAATACCCATCCACACAAAGGTGAAGACAGAAGCCACAGAGTTTTTATTTCCGTTGATCAGTGAAGGCGATAAAGCACAGAAGCGTCATGTCCACCTTGCAGCTGCACCATCAACAGAATCGAGTCCTTCCCTTTGAAAGGAAATGAGGTGTCCTCTCGTGCCCCCTACAGGTGACAGATGAGAAAGCATCCTCCTTACAAGAAGACAAACTCATCACTGTTTCTTCTGTTGTTGCTCCTGCCCAGTTTGCCCGGGGGCAGAATGTGGGCAGCAGGTCCACTGTTATTGCTGCTGTGACCCTCAAGTCCATAATCCTGACTCTGGCCTTCTACGAAGGTAAAGATGGGGTACTTCTCCTTTGAAGATGACAGGGCCTGAGAGGACAACAGAACCCGGTCACATAAACTGTCCTGGAGTGCACTCACAAGACAAGAAGGCTGATTGAACAGGGAAAATGTCGAGAGAGTGCATGAATATCTATCAAAGCAAGTCTTTCTACTTGTACTTTAGTTCTTGTTTGTGAGCCATTAAACCAGAGCTTCATTGCAATTAATCTGTCTTCTCTTCTTGAGTTAAAAACTTGGGTAAGAAAAAACATTTTTCGTTTATTTTTTATTTAAATTGATTAACTAAGTTCTAATTTGTTTGTTGTTGTTTTTTTGTCGGCCACCCCGGTGCCAAAACGTCTCTTCATAATTGTGAGAAATAAACACTTAGAGGGCTGTAATCCTTGTAACTCCTTCTTGGGATTTGATGTGGTTCCTCTAGGCTGTGGCGTAACACTAATATGAACACAAACAATTTTGCTTGGTTTATTTATTGCTCTTGTTCATTCTGACCACTAAATGAGGCAGAAGTGATGGGGGACAAATTCCACAGTTCTCGTTCTGTGAAAAACATTTATTTAAAGGTTTATTATGAAAAACGTAAAAAACAAAACAAAACACGAGGCTTCAGCAGACTGAAACTGACAGAAAATTAAATCAGAAGGGATTTTCCAAAGTTACAGTTACAGTATTTGCTTACTGAGCTGCAGTGCAGGGACAGGAAGACTAAGAGCAAATTTGAAGAAATCCATTGATTTGGCTAACTCAAGCATCATATTAGCTTAAGATAAACTTAAGCATGCATATGTCCTCTGAACTTACACTGGAGGCACATAAGAAAGGGATCTAGTGTATGAACAGGAAAGGTGATTACATCGAGCAAAACCTGTTTTAATGTTCATATGTTCACCTGACTATGGTTTTAAGACAGAATTGAACAATTGCAATCCTATAATTTAACAGAATATGAAGTAGGAGTTGAAATCGTATGTTCTTTTCCGTCATTAAATGCTTTAAAATCTAGAGTCAGATAGTGGGAGGAGGGTGTAAAAACTCACCTCACTGACAGCAGAACATAGAGACTCAAAGTCCTTTTTGTTCTTGGCATAAAAGCCGATGGTGCAGCTGGGATCCATGCGGCTGAAGGGCATCTTTTTGGGAGAGCTACAGTGGAACGACTAGAGAGCGACAGAAGCAGACAGAGGTCATAAAATAAAGGTTAACGACCTTTATCTTTAATGATCTGTTAGAGTCAAAACAATATTGAGCGTGAAAGTCACATGATCCAAGTCCAATATGATCTGAGAAAAAGAGATAAACAGCCAGACAGTGCAACCGACCTCCAGTGCGAAGTTGACTTGTGATACATCCACCACAGGCTGGCAGTAGTGAGGGTCCAGATACAGCAGCTGCTCGTCTAATAGGCAGTGGGGAGAAGTAAAGGAATTAAATGATAAAAGCATAAAATCCCCACCTGCTACTTGCTGATCAGGTGGCCAGAAACAGAAAAATGGCTCAGTCATATTTTGCCGTTTCCCCTATCCATAGACATATTCTTAGACATTTTGGATAGGATGCTGCCACCCAAACAAAAATCTATCACTGTATTAAAATCTAGAAAATATAGTGCAATAAAATATCCAAACTTTAACTTTAACTCTCTTTAAAAATAGTTGAGGTTTGGTTTCCAAAACAATTTTCACTTCTTCTATTGTGTGTCTTTGTTGATGATTTTCAGAATCATTGCTCCAGTAAAGGGAAATCAATGATTAGCAAGAAGTATATTTCGAGAAGTGTTGGTTGCCAAGTTACATGGAATCATTTTCCTTCCAATTTATTTTTCTCAGCCTTGAAGGTCTTCTTCACAGACAGAAATGCATGCTTTTTTATGACATTTTTAAGCACTGTGTGAACACACCACAATGAGCAAACATTTTTAGGAGATTGGCATGCATCGAGTGCTTGGCACTGTTATTGCTGTATCACACTGAAGTAACCGCTCTAGCAAATATACAGAAACTAAGAAAATAACCTCCGAGGTAGACAAATATACAGGAGTAGCATATTAGCTGAAAGCAAATTTTCCTCAGCTCCCAGTTGTTTAGGAATATCATGAAACTTAAGTGTATTACTGTGTTTAAACTATGGTCACTTGGTGGGCGGTGTAAATTGTTGTCTAGTTGTCGTGAGTTTAACTAATGGTTAGGAAAGGCTAACTGGATATCACTATCATGTAACAGACATCACAGATTGTTGCCCCATTAGAAAAACTGGTAGAGAGCACTCATATATATCAAAGAAGGGAAGAGTGGTCTCTTCCAATTTGACTAAACTGGAGTGGAGAATCATGCAAAGAAATAGGAAAAACAGTACATGTGATGCATTACTGTCTGTGAAGAGGATCGTTGAAGGTTTAACTTGTCTGTTCTGTCAGTGAGGTGTTGAAAAGGAGAAGCCATTATAATAACCATCACAAAAAAAGCCTGGTTCACCTCAGCTCCACTCAGCCCTACAGGTGATTATCACACTGCCGTAAGCACAGGAGTGTTTCTCTGCTGATGTTTACCTAGCCTAAGTTGTCAGTTAACAGACCCTTGACAAAAGAGTTGACAAGATTAAAGGGAGGCAGTACTGCTAGAGTGCAACATGTTCAGCACAAGTATACCTTGGTTTGACAATACCATAGAAGGCAGACATTGCCAAAATATCTGGCTGCTCTATAGTCCTGGCTCTTGTATGCTGTAACCAAAGAACATCAGATCCTTCTTCTGAATGAGGATATTGTTTTTATATTCCTTTGCTTCTGGTTCTCACCTTGGAAGCCAATGAAGTAAAGTGAATGCTTCGGTTTGCCTCCGATGATTCCGATACAACAATCCAGCTTTAGGATGTTCTGGGAATGAACACAAATGTTTTCAATTCAGTTCAAAAATATGAGGGAGAATTTAAGTTAGGCAACACTTCAGGAAACATTACTCTAACACACAAAGTGTCAATATTCAGACCTTGACACATTCAATGTAGGACGGGTTGAGGGCCTCCCCTCCCAGCCGTACAGGCACCAGTATGATGACAGACTTCCAGGCTTGGTTGGACGGATCAGGGGGAGTCTGGCTTAGTGACAGGTCACATAGACGCACCACATCCTCTTTGTACACTGCAGTGCACAGAAACACGATGAGAAAAAAAACTAGTATGCATACAAATATTTTACGGAAGACTTCTTCATGTGACATATATCGAAAGGAGAAACAGAAAGCAACAGACTGATACCTCTGAACTCTCACAAGCAGTAAATGCTCACCTGTACAATCCTGAGCCACATATACAACCAGGTTGTGGACCACAGATGTTTTGGCTACCGCTTTCCTGAGGAAAAAAATAAAATAAATACTCAAATACAATACATACTTTAGTGTGTCCACTGTGTAAAGCCTTGCTTGTAAAAACAATGCCTCTTCCAATGCCCTTACCGTAGTATGTGTGCCACTATAGAGGGGCCATACCAGTCACCAGCCTTCTTCCCTGAACTTTTGCTGATTTCCACCAGCTGGTGAATCCCAAAAGGTGCTGGGGGCTGATCCCCGAACCAGGTGACCAGCCTGTGGTGGATGGGCTCTGCCTGCCTGTCCCTCACAGACTCGGGTCTCTTTTTCTGGCTGCATTTGGGCACCTGATCACTTGGCAGGGACTTTTCAGGGGTGTTGGTTCCTCGCGGCGTGGCAAAGGATGGGATTGGGACCCCTCCAGCCCGGGCTGGGGAACGTGGTCTGAACACCTCAAAGTCCACATCGGTTAGCTGCTGAACATCTGGCCACGCCCAATCTAGAGAATACAGAAAGGGTTGAACTTAGCAATAAAGTACAGCCAGGCTGAATATCTGGGGAGTGTATTGAATTCCTTCAGTCTTTAGATTTAAACAATCAGAGAGGAGACATCTTTTGAATGCCATACTCATTAGCATGGACACACAATGAAAACATTTTATAAAAAGACAGAATGGGACAGAGCAGCAAACAAGGATCCATGAGACAGACAAACGCTGTATGCAATGAAAAGAAACAGAAATAACACAGGATAAGATGGGCTTTAAAAATGTGTGACTAAAAAAGAACAAAAGGAGAGGGAAGAGCAGAAAAAACTGAGTGACATTAAATTAAATCTTGCAGGAGAGATATAAAAAGTGGGAAAAAGAAGACACGAATTAGACAAGAAGAAAGGTCTTGTCTAGTGTTGTTGCATTGGATGTAAATGTTTTAAAAAACCTTAAATAAAAATTGTCAAAAACAAAAAAAGAGGTCAGATCTGTGCGATTATCCATCACAAGACAACTTCTTTAATTATATCTGTTCAATCTAAAAGGGGTATTTGTATTGTGCAGACTGAATGTATAATGGAATATATAATAAATCTTTCACTAAATAGGAAAAATAAGACCCACCAGCCTTTTAAAAAGATCCCGACTGGCTTAAGAATGCTCCTTAGATAAAAACTGACCTATATTTTCTGTGGGTGTGAGACAAACCTCTGGGCATCAAATGGACCAGAAGCCCCTGTGCCAGCAGCATCTGCCCACTGCGCAGCATGCAGCCCCAGCCGCAGTCTGTGGTCCAGGTGGAGCCCTCCAGCTGAGGGAACTCCCTCCTGTAGGTCAGCCAAATCCTGGACACGAAAGCCAGACGAAACCGCTCCACCTCGTCTGAGAGGAGGCGCAGGGGTGGAGGGGGAGACAGATGAAAATGAAAGAGATTGTGAGGGAGAACTCACTTATACTGTGTTGCTTCAAACAAACAAACTGTTTCTGAGTTTCATCTTTTGTTCATCTGACAGGAGAAAGAGCTGTCTGCATGTCTGTATGTGGGGGGCTTTTTGTCTACTGCACCTTTGATGAGAAAGGGATTAACCTTGAGATTCTTAATGTGTGTATTTAGAGCTTACCTTCACTGTTGAGCAGATAGGAGTGTCCCAGGACAGTGACTGGCGATATCTTATTGAAGGAGGTTTTAGACTTAACAGTCCAACCTACAGAAAGAGAAGGAGGGAAAATGGAAGTTGGTAATGTAGCCATTACAGAAGGCTGATATAGACTTTGTCAGATGTTTGTCATGTTTGTCATTTTACAACATACCATATTTGACGTTGTTCCATGCTGACATCAGTTTGGCTTTCAGTTTGTCCATCTCATCAGGCTCTCCGGTTGCCTCTCTGCTGGGATCTGGTGTCTGTGGTGACCTGAGACCAAAGCTGCCCTGCCGCTCCAGGGGCGGCTGCCTCCGGCTCTCCACCAGCTCTTCCTGCATCACTCCCCCTACGTACTGTGCTGCGCTGGGGGAAACGGTGTTCATGCCTCTGAGCCCTCAGAGCTGGACTCTGGTGTTCCTCATTGCAACACAGAACTGACGGAGGGGGAGAGAAGACAGTAAGAGATAAGATAAATGATTGACTGCTGACGTGAGTTCACATTGTTCACTTCAAACACTTTTTACACTCTTCCTGAAACAAAACTCTTAACTTATTACACTTAATATTACAATTGACACTTTTATCCAGTGTATGAAGTATATTGCACATCTGTCCATCCTGGAAGTGATGTATTTCTTCATGATTATGGACAGAAAGTGTCGACCCCTCTGAGGAAAATTCGTGATTTTGGTCGAGATAGACAAAACTCTAACTTGACTTGCAATGGTCAAGTGGCTCCTTCAGCAGGCTCAGTATTAGCTGGTGTTGTTTTAGAACAACTCTGTATATGTTGTCAAATACCACGCACTGCAAAAGGCAAACAGCTTTAAATAAGATCAAGATCATATATTTGGTTCAGTTAAGATTCACTGATCTACTACATTGTCGTTTGCACTTTTTATAAAGCTGTTAGTGAGATCATGACTAACCAAGGTAAAGGCTGATGTTATAGATTAACTTATGGAGATGTTGGTTTCTTGGCTTTGTGATTTTAGCAGAAGTGCATACAAGCCAAAACCATCAAATCTCAAGACAACGGAGTAAGCTCCTCCTGCTGAAGAAGACCGTGAGACAGCAAATAAATAATCAAATAGTCGATTGACTCAATGTTTGACATTTTCTCTTGTTTTCTATGAGTGTAACCGAATTATAATGAGCATGAAAGTTGACATTGGGAATAGTAGTTGGTCAAACCTAACTGATTATCAGAGTTTTGGATTCAAACAAAAAAACATTTAAATAAGTCAGCTTGCATTCTGGGAAATTGTCATGTGCATTTTTCTTTTTTTACTATTTTCTTCTTCAAGAAGATGAAGTGTCATACTCTAAAGATCACATGGTTTTATTGCACTGTGAGAGAAACCCAACCAGCCTGGAAGCCAAAAGCAAGTCCTCACTTCCTGAAAAAGTATATATACAACATTGTCAGAGCAAACATAAGTCAACCGTCTTCAACCACTGATTTCACAAAGCACACAGCACAAAGGGAAAGCACCAGTGACTTTTCCACCTTGCCCTGAAACTGATGATTAGCAGTTTCAATAGGGAACAGTCGCACAATGTGTAGTCACTGATTGCACTGATGGGAACATTTCTGTGAAGAGGGAAAAAAATACATCATGTGATTAGCATTTGACAACCGGCATATCGGGCTTTTTGAGCGTCTGTGAAAGTCATCTGATTATGGTGGCTGTCATCATTCACCACTGTAAACCGAGCCGTCAATTCCTCACTGCGGGACACAAACACACCCGTCACGACGCACGTAATGTGTCGTTTTCTTCGTGAGTACGTCTCAGCACCGCCAATAAACCAACACACTTCACGGCCAACAGTCGTTTCAATGTATGAGCCTGCTCTCACCGCGTCAGTGCAGCACAGAATTTGTTTGTTTGTTTGTCTAATAAAACAAAACGCGAGCATTATACTCGGTGGTCTGCCGTAACTGTGGCTCCTTTAAACAGCTCATTCACCTCAAATTAAAGCCGGACGAGCTAACGACTACCTACCTGCTGTAAAAGCCGGTTAAGCTGGTCGGTACTTTGTAGTAGCTTGAATCATTTCAGAGATTTCTTCTCCTCTTTTCACCCACGACTGCAGTCTTCTACTAGCATGCTAAAGCTAGCTGTCTATAGCTAGCTCCCGGCGTTAGCTACACTGGCTAGCATTTATTCAAGCCGGAATCTTAATGAGCTTTCAACACAGCCGCTGTCAGTGTGCTCCGGGCTCCTCCATTCAACAAACGAGCTTATTTCTAGGGACTAGTTGCGCCGATAATCCAGTACATGGCAGGTTTGATTCCCGACCAGCCACCGCTTTAACATCTCCCTTTGACAGCAGAGGAGGGCTTTTACTTCCTGTTGTCCTTTCCTGACGCAACGCGATTGGTTGAGGTAATCACTCCGAGAACGCTGATTGGATAACGTCCGAATAATCGACCTCGGCTCTGTGTGATTGGCTGATATCGACTACAGTGACCGTAGAGTTATGCGATATGTAACCTAGGCTACAAAATACATGTTAGTAAGCAGGACACACTATATTATGCATTTGTATGTGTATGTAAAAACCCTAACCTTAAGAATAGAATAAAAAATAAAATGAAAGATAAAATATAAAATATTATATAT